TGCTGTGTTTCCGTGATCTCAATCATTTGGTGTGAGATGGTCGTAAATAAGTTTTTTTCTAATTTTGATCGTCGACAAAATCTTGTTTAATATTGTAAGTTTCTAGAAGTTCAGTGATGTGAACACTGTCAACAACCAAGCCAAGAAATTTTTATGAAAACTGTTCACCTCGCTCCCCTACAGTCTCCTCCAACTAATATAGTGCAGCTGACTAGCTGAGGTGACAAAATCCAAAATGTAAAGTTTGTACGCAACTACAGTTTGTCTTCATAGATTACATTAATGCTGAATCAACGAGAATGCTGTCGACATGTGACGCCTGTTATCTTGTGTTTCTAGAGTTTTGTGGGTTTTTTGGACACACAAGGAGTTGTTAATATGTCATACTTCTTAAAGGGAGTTTGGCATAATATTTTCAACCAGGTGCAGGACGGGAAATAATGGTAACGTTTCTGTTTGGTCACATTAAATCTGAGTTTACTGCGTGCATGTTTGATTGTGGTTTTGTGACATCACAGCTTATGTGGGAGCAAATCACGGTGGCCTTACACCAAACTACTTTTCATGGGAATTTAACGTGACAAATGTCAAAATAAAATTGTGAAATTTTTGCTCGAGTCATGCTGTGTTTCCGTGATCTCGATTATTTGTTGTGACGTGGTCTTAAAACTCGATCCGAGCTGTCTCAAGTCAGTCTTTTTCGAGCCTTGATGGTCTGACAAAATCATGTTTAATACTCAGACGTGTTGTTTAAATAATCAGACATGTTGTCATGATCTGAATCAGTGGTTGTATCCTTGTATTCTTCCTGTGTGTTCGGGCTTATGCGGTTTGGTTTGATGGTGATGTCACTGTCTTGCTAGTTGTCCTTCTGTTGTGCTTTCATGTGTGTGTGTTTGTGTCTCTGTGCTTTGGTCTATGTTGTGTTTTATGTTGTACTTTTCAATAGTACGTTCTTAATGTTTTTGGTGATATGGTGATGTAGTTGTTTTATTTACAGTGCTTATGTCTTGTTGCTTTGCTCATGTGCCTTGCTATGTGCTTATGTGCCCTTCAGTCCACTTTAATCTGTGCTTCTGTGCTTTTGTATATTGTTATTTTAATGTCTTTATCTTACGTACACATAAACCATCAACCTGTCAGGGACTGCAGGTGAAAATTAGCCGTCCTTTATACATGAAATAAATATAAACATAGACATAATAGCGAAAGTTTTTAGTTTAAGCTCATGCAAATACTGAAGTTCAATGATGTGAACATGAACAACAACCAAACCGAGCAAGCAGCACTTATTTTAGTGAGAAATCCTCATGTTTGAAACTGTTCGTTTCACATTCACAGTCTCCTATCATGAAAATGGTGCAAGTGGAGGTGACAAAATCCACAATGCAAAGTTTATATGTATAGTTTATATTAATGCCGAATCAACAGGAATGCTGTTGACGTGTGGCACCTTTTATCTTGTGTTTCTAGAGTTTGTGTTTTCTTGTACATGTAAGGAATTGTGAAAATGTCATATTTCTTAAAGGGAGTTTGGTGTCATTTTTTCCAACAGCAGCAGGATGGGAAATAATCTGAAAATAAATCTAGCTGTAGTGTTGCAAACAGTGACCCAGTCTTTGCAAAATCTAAACTCTGACATTGTCTTCAGACATGAGGAGGTGTCAGACTCTTTTTAAAGTCTTTTCGAAGTCTTTTAGTGTATGAATCATGTGGAAACTTGAACCTTCCAGAGCACATAAACTGAGAATTGGCTTTTCCAGTGAAGTCGGAGACAGCTTGTGTCCAGTAATTAAACTTCTGAAATAAGATATATCTGCATATTCACAGATTATTGGCTCTCCAGTGAAGGAAATGTAAATGTAATGGTGAGAGTTTTTTTCAGGGATAAACATCAGACACTGATTATTATTCAAAGCATGTATACTGTATCTTTAAAGATGTCTGGAGGGGGTTTGGACATCTCTGCATCCATCTTACTCCTGTAAATCCAAGAAAAACTTCAGAAAGTCTATTATTATTTCATAAGCCGACAATATTTCACACTCCTCTATTCTTTCACACACAAACATGGAGGCTTCTCTCCTTCCCATCGCTGATATCATTAAATCATTCATGTTATTTGAGTGTAAGTCTGAGCTTTCTTGCCAGAGTCAACAAAACTGAAGAGCAAAATATGCATCTGTAAACAGGAGAGAGTCCCCAAACAGCAATCTGCAGTCCGCCCCGGTGCTGCAGCTTCAGAGTTTGGTTACTGTGCTGCGAATCCATGAAATCTCAGGATGACGGATGACCTCTGGCCTCTCTGCAAAGCTGCAGAATAAGAACCCAAAGAGCTGCAGTGACCTCAAAGCAACACTTAGACTCAAACTATCCATGTGAAACTCTCCCTGTGAGTCCCTGCTGGAATATTAGTGATAACTAGAATAGTTTTCAGTGCGTTAAACTCGCGCGCAACAGGTCTTTTTCATGCGCAAAACACTCATTAAAAAGACGAAACCCCTTTTGAAAATGTATAATTTCCAGATGACATTTAGCTGCAGTTTCCTTCACACTATATCAACATTTGATGTTACTATAATGACCCAGACCGATATTTCGGCGTGACTTCGGCTCCACAAACTGCAGCCAAACTACAAAATAAAAGCCTGCATGTTCACATACAGTTAAAGACGCATATAAGTAGAAGCTGTAGCCGCACATTTAATCCATGTGTTCGTTTTAAAACATAAAAACCAGCCTGTCAGTGGGTCTGTGTCATAACGCGGCTGAAGGTCCCGGGGTTTAAATTACAGATCTGTTTTGACTCATCTCCTCTTCACATGAAAAATACTCGCTGCAACTTTCTTTCTCCTCCTCCTCCTCCTTTTCTTCTCCTCTCTGTAAATTAACTGCATATTCCCAAATACTGGGCTCCTTTTATCATTATTCCACTCAGAGCTGGGCTCGTCAAGTGCTCCCAGATATTTATAAATGTTAACAGTGTGTAGCCTGACTGAAATGTGTCCAGGGAGAAACTAATTATAAGGGGTTTTGATTCATTTCGCTCCCATACAGTATGTAGGGCAGAGATTTTCATGACTGTGCAGACTCTCTGTGCTGTGATGAGGGTCATATCTCTCCAAGTTAGAATACTTTTAAAGAAGAAGAAATAAAAAACTGTAATAAATTGGCTTTTTCTGCGAAGTTGCTGCCTACTGAAAAGACTTTTTGAGTGTGGACGGAGGCCTGTGTGTCAGGAATATGGCAATAATAAAACAACAAAGCCATTTATTTATAATATAATATTAAAAAAAGTAGATTCGCTGACTATAGGAGCTCTGAATGTGGCTGAACGAGTTTGCAGTACTACTGTGTTTTAGCCGTGCCGAATATTAATGCGTAAAAACGCGCCGGGGACGTAAAAAAAGTTAAAAATCAACCGCTTAAAAATGGAGCCAGCTTGAATCAGCTCTGGGTTAACTTTACTGAACACAACAGGTTGTTTTAACCGTGCGTCAGACTCATTTTTGGGTTATATACCCACATTAAATATAGTTATTTTGATCATAATGACTTCAGAACTGTCACAAATGTCTTATTTGTGCGTAATAATGTGCACACAAAGGACACACGTGAACATGTTAGTTAATAATCTGTAACAGAATGGGTCGAAAGACTTATTTTAAAAGACGGAAAGTCAGAAACTGGCTGTGTGAACCTGTGTCGGTCATTCACATGTGATTTAATCACCCAAAAATGTGAATTTGCATTTGGTTTCTTTTGAAATATGTGGACTCAGTGAGCGCATCTGGATGGGGACCTTTATGGTGTCTTGACTATGTTGAATTTAGGTGCCAAGATCCCTCTTCCGTGTGTGTGTGTGTGTGTTGTGTATGAGTGTGTGTGAGTGTTTGTTTTTGGGTAGAGATTTTTGCTAGTGTGTGTATGTTCATGTTGAAAGACATTATCAGGAATAAAAATGATATTAAATAGAAAACAATCAGTAACAAATGCTGACATGTGAGTTTAAGAAGACGCTTTGCAACCATAACATATTTCAACTGTTGTTAATAACTCAACATTAATATGAAAAAATAATAAATAAATAAATAAAACTGGGTCAAAACGAGCCAATTTTGTGTTTTTGCTACACTGACCCCGTTTCTATTATGAATAAAGACATAATTAATTAAGAAACATGTTAAGCGAAAAAAGTTTTATTAAAAAAAATTGTTCTGTTGCCATAAATGTTACTAAATTAAATGTTATTAATATTAAAATTGCAATATCCGTCGAGATAAATAAAGTTTTATTTTATGTAATCTCATTATTGCTGTAATAATTATAATTATAATAATTTCTCCAGTCGTTATTTCTCCGACTTAACAATTACAAAATGCTCAAACTTAAATAGCAGTAATTATATATTTTATTATATATCACTAAAACTGTCATTTTTAATTAATGATCTTTGAATTTAATGTTTAGTTGAATATTATAAGAGCGTGACTGACAATTAGAGACCTCAACATTACTTTTCAATCACTGTCTCATTTCATAAAGTGTGTTCAGATTTAAAAATGTTTGATTTAAATGTTGGTTTTATTTTTCCTGACGTTTTCCCTTTCTCTCCAGCTCCTGATGAAACTGATTTGAAGTTTATTTTATTTACTGTGCCGTAAAAACTCGGTAAACATGTCAGAATAAATCTGTAAAGTCAAATAAACTTATTTGAGCAGCATGTCTGCATACATGAGAAACTTAATTCCCTTCTCTGCCCAATAAAGAAACTTTTCCAAACTCTCTGTGCAGCGTCCCGCACACACGCGCTCCGTCTCCATACCGAGGCTCCCACGGCCGGCCCCGCCCGCGCCCCCCTCTCATTGGCCCGCTCCTATCAACACACGGCTGCATATTTACCTCCCGTGCGCCCATTGGCTGCTGCCGCCGTCTATCTCCCGCGTGCCTCTCTATAAGGTCTCGTGCTCCGGCAGCAGTTTTCCCAAACCTGAGATGAGCCTGGAGCAGCACCGCGGTGCGCCTGACGCAGCTCGACTGTCTCTCACACTGTCGCCACAACTATGATCACACACTCCTGCACGCCTCCTCATTCCTGGATCTACCACTCTCTGCGGGCTTGTTTGCATTAGTTTGTTTTTGTTTGTGACTTTAATTTATTTTATTTTTATTTGTAGTTCCAGGTGAGCATGTGCGTAATTTTGCGAGGATTGCCGAGGTGCCACCGGGAGTGAGTCTGTCGGGCAATATGCGCCACTGGGATATGATTGTCACCCGAAAGGCTTATGGAATATAGCCTGGTTTGTTCCAACCTGCACGCGCTCTGGTCCAGCCCCGTGAAGAAGAAACTAATCCTGCTCAGCATCATGTTTTTAATCTGGGTATACATGCTGTACTCCTGCGTGGGCTACTGCTCCACCATGCCAAGTTTGGTGGTGGACGGTTACCGGGGCAAAGAGAGCGGTCCGGCGGTGGGCAAGAGGACAGAGACCAGCAGCAGCAGCAGCAGCAGCTCCAGCAGCAGGACGGACCTGGTGTCCAGACTGCTGTCCAAACCGCAGCCCTGGGAGGATATAGAGAGCGACTACGAGGAGCCGTCCATCAGGACCGCCGCGTCCAGAGACCTGCTCAATAACGAGCTGGAGACGGACCGAGCCGAGGAGTGGGACGAGATGCGGGGCGAGCAGCTGCAGCAGAGAGCCCCGGAGCCCAGCGCCATGTCCAGCTTCTCCAACGGCTCCGGGAGCAAGAAGCTGCCGCAGGCGATCATCATCGGGGTGAAGAAAGGAGGCACCCGGGCTCTGCTGGAGTTTCTCCGGGTGCACCCGGACATCAGAGCCGTGGGAGCGGAGCCGCACTTCTTCGACCGCAACTATGAGAACGGGCTGGAGTGGTACAGGTAAATAAACTGCTTTTATTTACTGTATATTTATCACAATTTAACGCGCAAAAATAACAAAAGTGAGCATTTTAGATGATTTTATTCCTCCATAAATTATCTTTACAGAGCTACTGGCGCAAAACACCTCACCTGATATCCATCTGTGAGCCAAAACTGAGGCTCAAATATTTATTTTATTGAATTTATTCTGCTGTTTCATCGCTACAGATAATTTAAACGTGTATTTATTAACCCCACAGTAACATTAACACCACACTCAGACTGCTGAGAGGCTGTTAACTCCAAATTACTCTAACAAACGCAGCAATTACATCTCATTAAAGCGCCAAATTTATATATTTATTTTTGCATAATTATCCACTGCATTTAAAGTTTATTACAAACTGAACCCATTAAGCTAAATTAACACTTTAGTTGCTTTGTGTCCATTTACGCGTCAGGCTGCCGCTCATGCGCCATTACGCGTCATTAATCTAATGTATTAATTATAAGGTTTGATTGCAGATTTGTTTTATGGCTTGTGTGGGATATATTTTATAAGTGTTGACTTTGTGTGACATTCTGAGGCAGCTCGGACGGGATCACAGTGAGTGAGTGTTTCTGCGATGTGCAGTGATCTCTATTGGACACACTGCAACATTGCAGCTGCGCGGGGATGCGTCTGCGGGCGTTTCTGTTTAGTTTAAATGTGGAATAAGTTGTTTTTTAAAATGTTTTCTTGCAATTATGGTGCGATTTTATAAGTTGGATGAGATTTAAGTGGAGCAGGGGTTGGCTGTGTGGCAAAGCTGCGCTGATTTAATGTGTGTGTGTGTTGTGTGAGCGCAAAATGTGACCCCACACACATTTACAAGCAACTTTATCACAATGCGTTATTGATACAAGGCTCCATTTGCACAAATCTGACTGATCCTAATGTGACAAGATCCGAAGAAACGCTCCAGACTTTCTAGATTATTTTTGCTAATTGAACAAGAGTGTTTAGTCCTGCAGGATATTGAACCTAATGGCGTTAACAGACCTAAAAGCTTTTATATTATTCTGCCCATTCTCATGTGAATGAGCTCCTCAGGCCTGATGGCCCACGTTGCAAGAAAAAAGGAGGATCTGCAAGACAAAGTGAGGATCCTTCTCAGGACAAAACATCCTAACTAACATTATCCTTTTCATTTACATCACAAAGTGTCCACATAACGAGCGTCCACACCTCCTGCCTGTCATTAAAACAATTAATAACCACCACTTTTATTAGTTTGTTTTACAGCAATCATTTAATCTGAATAATTCAAATTAGACTTGTGTTTATTTAATCCGCATTTAAACAGTAATAAATCGTCAATGGACAAATTAATCTATTGATTTATGGGGAGATGGCACTTAAAATAAAAAAGTTTTGCAGCATAAAAAAATTGTTTCATTTTAGTGTTTTTAGTTAATTGACAACTTACTTTAAGAATTTGTTGGAAACATTTTTAACATTTTTTTGAGTTGGATAGATTTAAAATAAATAACAGTTTGACAACGAAATATCAACACAACTTTTGGATAAATATGAAGTTGTTTTTTCAAATTGGTTGTACTGAACTAATTAAGTTTGTCAGATTGAGTTGGAGCTACTTAAAAAGACACATGCAAACTGTTACCTTAAATTTGTAAAGTTGAACCAGTGGACTTTTATAATATCAGGTGTTTTAGCTGAAGTTAAAAACTAAAATCCGACAATTTGATTTTAAAGAAAACTTTTGGATTTGCTGCCCTGAATGAGCGGCTCTTATCCTGCACGTTAAATATGCAGGACCTCGAAGGGGCCCCTGCAGTGTCCAACATCATGAGAAAAAAAAAAAAAAGAAGAGCCGACTGAGGCAAAGTTGGCGGCATTCAGAATAAAGACACTTTATTTGTGCGCTTTCCTTTTGATAGAAACAGACATTTCGCCGCAGCGCTTTTCTGTTGGAGTTTGTCGAGGGGGAGGCTGTTATTCAACTTCCACCTACAGGATTTCAAAGTTTCCTGGTGGAGGGGATGGTGGTGGAAAAGTGCTGTCTGCTGTAGTTTCTCATAGGCCGTGAAATCTAATACTTTTTAAGTGAAGAAGAAGTCATGACTCAAGGTTTTCTTGTTGGAGGTGGAATGGAAGCTGCATTTCGTTTTTTAGTGACTTTTTCTTTTATGGTTCGGTGCCAAAAAATAACCTCATGTGCTCGAGCTCAGTCAGAGGAACACAGAGAAGCAAGGGCGGAGGTTTGGTTTCAACATTTGGGGACACAGATATGAGAGAGGGGGGTTTGTTGGGGAGATTTTTAAGAATTAAACACTTAATTTTCTGAATTCTGGTGAATTTTAAAGCACCAATTTGTGCTTTTTTGCATCAACTTTATGGTTTTTAATTTGTCAAAGTTCTCTGATACTTGACGCCTTGTCCCTGCTGAAATCTGCACCTACTCAGATTGTACTTTCTCACTGAAGACAAAACTTTGTGATTCAAGGCTCCGAGCAGTGCCACACAGAAATCCATTAACTCCTATAGATGTGCTCTCAGGCTGTGTTTCAGAGCTGCCTTGACACACTTTTACTGCAGTAAAAAATGTATGTTTCAGTGAAACAGCTGGTGTAAGCACTCCCTGTAGTGGAGGAGGAAAAAGTTTAGTGGCTCTACTTCTCGGGCGAGGATGCACCAAGAAAGTAAAGTCGTACTTCATTCATTGCTGAGCACACAAAGTTTCCCATCAGGAGCAGACACAGGAGAGAATAACGCAGGAATGTTCCAGACAGAGGCGAAATTATTGCGTGGCATTGAAATATACGCTGTGGGAATATGATCTGATCATGGCGAGGGTCATTTACAGAGGCGGTTATAGATGGTTGTGTGTGTGTGTGTGTGTGTGTGTGTGTGTGTGAGTTGAGCAATTCACCTCTGCTTGTTTGCTCATTTGCACAATCTCCTCACCATCCACTGTTGTAACAGCTTGCACCATCTTCGCCTCCCACCAGCGGACGCACAGAGTGAATGGAGGTGGAGATAATAACGAGTCTCGCTGAGGATTCCTGATGACAGTTTTTTATTTGTGCCAAAGACAAACACATGATTCATGCCTTTGACCGAGGGGTCCTTGTAGCAGGAGGTACACATTTTCACAGTGAGGTCATGCATGAAGTGGCCCCGAGGAACACACACACACACACACACACACACACACACACACTCACACACTCACACACACAGACATGGAGTGAGAGTCAGAGCTCAGCAGGCCAGTGTGACCAAGTGTGAACAGGAATTCATTATTTCACATTTTCTATTTGCACCTGTTCAGTGAAAGTCGGCCGGCGTTATCTGATAGCGATAACCTATCTGCAGCACATACGTTAATGAAACTCAATGAGTTAATTCCTGAAAACATTAATAAGCCATACACAGTATATAACAGAGCCCAGGGTCATCAGCGTGAGTGCGTTATCTTGTGTGCGTTTTGTGATGTAATTCATGGCATTAAAAGTCAGTGTTCGCACTTTTTAAAACAGGAGTAAATAAAGCGACATAAGGGATAAAAGGCAGGAGACAAACCACAAAATATAAACTCAGAAAATAAAGTTATATTTTTAAAAGAAGCATGATGAAGAAACTCAGGATTTTATTTATTTATTTTTGTTGATATTCTGGCAACAATTACATAGACCTCTTGTTCTGAAACTTTTCGACCTACCTTAACAAAAGTCATGTACAGCAGGAGTCACAACTTTGCAAACAACATATAAAAAAATTAAACCAAAGTCCGGTCCAGAGGGGCCGACTGTGTCCCAGACTGGTTACCATATCTCAACAAATCCCTCGGCACTGTCATGAAGGGTGTAGGTCAGCTTCTCCAGAGGGAGTATTCTCCATATACCAGTCATCCAGTGCAGGCTTGTCCTTAAAATCCAGAATTTAGGAATAGTCTTTCGTGCTATCTATGAGAGTATTCCAGTCAGTGAAGTGTTGTGGTTGTTGTTTGCACTTAAGAGTCTGAGGTGTAGTTTTCATTGAGGACTCTTTTCAAAATCCTGTTTGTGTCCCCCCCCCCACAACCATAAAAATCATGCTTACTGTAATATGCTACTGTTCGACCGGCCGTCAGATTCTGCCTGATTTTTTTTTTTTTTAAATCAAGAATCACAAGTGTCCCCACTACAGTCTTAAAGATCTGGTGAGTGTGGAAGATCGGGCCGAATTCATGCACTGTAAACAAATCTTCTAATAGTATTAAATACATTTCAGTTATCGGGTTCAGTACTTTTTTCCTCTGTCAATCCACTTTATTGGACATACTGTAAAACTTCAATTAAAAGCCTGGGCTATTATTTGCTATTTGGGACAGGCCTTTAATTAATTTCATACAAAACTGTTGCTCAGCAAAGATCCGGAAATACTATTAAATTATTTATTTAATCCAGTATGAATATTACTTGTTTGAAAATTGGACTTCAGATTATATATGAATTATAAATCATTCATTTGATTTAGCTTCAACTTTATCCTGTTAAAACAATCCTCACAACTTGGATTCATTTTTATGAAAAATCTTTTTGATTCTTTTGATATGAGGACCCTCGCAGACTGAAGGAATATGAATAACTTACAGCGTAGTCAAGGAATAGACACATAATTTGAGGTAGCCAGCAACCTGGTTTTATACATCTGAAGAACTGCTTGGCAACCAGACCAGGCCTCTAATTGAGACAGGCCTTTATTTGTCAAAATGTGTAGCTACACCGGGCTGGTAAAAGAGACTGGGCTTTTAATTTAAATTTTACAGTAAATTTTATAGATTGGAATGGCATGATTTCTTTATCAGTGTAGCTTTATCGAGTTAATACGGATGTCTGGTGTAAATATCATGTAAATAGCTGCGTTGGAAAATTATTTAATTAAAAAAATTGACATCTTGAGTATTAATTTCCTGGCTGTATGTTGAAAAGGGTTTGCAAATCATTGTTTTCCGTTTTTATGTGCACTTTAC